GGCTCAAGGTACCTACCATCGTTTCGTCGACCGCCACCTCTCAGGTGTAGCCGCATCAACCGCAGCCACAGCCAGCATGGTCGTGACCTGATCGACATCACTCCTTCATATCTTCTTTTTGGATCTTCCTTCCAATACACCATCACGCCTTCAACAAAGACGATCGCGACAAAGTTTTACCATTAAACGAAAGCAGTCCCATTCAACTCTCACACTCACATACACACCCTCGTTACAACTATGGAGCAAGAAACGAAAGTCTGGATCATCCTTGGTGCCGTCGTAGGCATCCTCGTCCTGACGGCGGTTGCCGTCGCCCTTCTCTTCTGCTGGAAACGATCTCAAAGAAGGATGCGAGGCTTCTCTCTGCGAGCTGTCACACCACTAGACGATGCCGAATTTGAATCGTGGAGACGGCCCAGCCAATACACCCAACGACCGGAGAAGTACGGCATCCGACCAGCTGTCTTACGCGAACATGTATCACCCAGAGCCACTTCCATGTTCGAGAAAGAGCTTAGCACATACGAGTTCCCTCCAAGAACACCATCATTAACCGACATGGCTTCACTAAAGTCACCCACCAGCTCGATACGAAAGCCCGAGCGTGTACGGAGGAAGTCCAGTGTTGCTTCGTCTATTGCCGACCGACCCCCAACACCCTATTCTCCGAACTCTCCAAGCGGTGAATTCAACCGGGGCTCCACATCTTCACATCGATCCCAGCCTCTAATACATTACCCATCACCATCAGAAACTTCTGCTTTCCGCTTCAACTTCGAATCAGAGTACGGCACTCAACAAAAGGGCGCTGGACGCTGGATATGAACGCCAGTGTCACTTCAACATTCCAGCCATCTTCGCACCTCGAACATTACGGCTTGCAGTGATCTCTGTAATACCTGCAGCCTGCCGAAAGCACTCGAAGCGACTGAAACACACCTGACAGCTTCTTGCGTCACCACGCACCGCTTGCTGCTGTACAAGCATCGGGGCTGTCGCGATACCCAGTCAACACTTCACCTTTACGACCTTCGCTTCGCATACATACTTTACGATTGGACATGATTTTGTCATTTGGAGTTCGGCGGCGCTTTGCATCTATGATACCAGACCTTTGAGTCACTACACAGGCCTCGAGCCTCTTTGTTTCTTTTTGTTGGAGGATGAGCCACTCAGTGCCGAAGATCGCACGAGAATGCAATTCAGTAGTATAGCCAACCACATAGTCGGGTCTGCAGTTGTAGCACTGCGAGAGGCTAGTCCTCTGTACCCATATCAATGAACAAACTCATTAGCACATGATCCTTCACTTCCTGCTGCAGTGATCTCCCTCCCATTGCGCAATACGCCCTGCCCTGCAAGACATCACGCACCACGCATCACGACATCAGCCCAAGCGGCAACTCGGCCCCGACCGTTCCCACCCACGACTGCCGACGCCGACCCCTTAGCCGTGCAAACGCCTCATCTGTGCCTGTGCCAAAGGAAAAAAACGTAGTCTACACCGCCAGTTCCAAGACCCCAGAATGTTGCTATACGCGATCTGAAACTCTGCTCGGCCGCCATCTCCACTCCACTCCACTTCGACTATCGAAAAGCGAGCGGGACGCGATTCATGCGCGATCGCGCTTCCCGCGCTCGAAAAGTACACCGCATTATCTGGCTGGGTGAACCCCGCGAGATGGTGAAGGTGGTGATACTGGACTCTTGGGGGCTGAAATGTAAGACGCAGGGTGGTGGGGTAAGGGATCTTCGGTGTCAGTTGCTTTTGCGCACATCATGGGTGGGTTTTGGTAAGGGAGATGCAACTCATCTAAGCGACAAGCTAGATGCCTGCGCGGGTACTATGATAAGAAGCAAGTAACTTGGAGGTCTACATTACTCTTCTGTGGCTCAAATTTTGCATCGTATACTGTTGTCGTCGGCTGAGTCTACAGGCATTTGCTCACTTTCTTCTCGCTGCACAGACATGTAGATGACTAAGCCAAGCAAACCGAGCGGATGACGTGCAGCCAGGATAAGGTGTGTTGAGCTGCACGGCGTGCGTGAAAGCGTTTTAGTGGGTCAACGACTCAACGTGGACAGCTGTCACCGCAAACCGTGTGGGCAAAACAAGCAAATTATCAGCCACACCCCAATAACCCCCATCGCGTGCTCGTTTCTCAAGCCCATAATTCGCGTCGCCCCATTTCATCCACCAGCCACTATCCGCGCGCAGATCAGTCGCAAGCGCGAATCTCGTTATCCGCACCCCACAAACGCGTTCTATCGCGTCTGGCACACGACTTCTACACGTCCAATCGCAAATCGCCCAATATGGAGTTTATACAAGGTATGCTTCGCTGATGCGCCTATCGTCCTATCACTCTATTGCGACACGGGTTGCTAACACCAGATACCAGACTACGCAGCTCTCCTCCCGCGCCTCCTCCCACCGTCCTTCGCAAACCCCCTCCTCCACCTCCTCACAACCTTCTTCGGCATCTCGCGCACGCTATCCACGCACCTCTCACCCCTCCTCAACAAACTCATCACCCAACCCGATGTCGCCTCCATCCTCGCGCTGCTGGCCATATTCTTCATCTCGCTCAAGATACTGGACATGATGTACCGGGCCGTCATCTTCTGGGTGAACCTGGCGTTGCGACTGGTCTTCTGGGGCGGGATACTCGTTGTGGGCTTCTGGGTGTACAACAGAGGGCCTGAGGGCTTTTTCGAGGATGTGCAGGGCTTGGGCGAGTACTGGCTCGGTCAGTATGAGGTGTATAGTCAGGAGGTTAAGGGGTTTCAGCAACAGAAGGAGGATCAGATTAGGATGAAGGCTAGTGCGCAGCAGCAGCAGAAGAGGAAGGGGTGGCGGTGAAGAGGGCGTGGAGACAATGGGTGGGGATGTGTGTATGAGGGATGGGAGTTGGATACTTGACAACATAATGGCTGCGGTTCTGAGGATCGAACCGCATGACTGGGTGCAAGACTGAACTTCTGCACATATTCTTACGGCGCTCGGGATCTTCAAAAGTCTGGGATTGGCTTTGGGACTCGTCGGCTTTGTACACAATATCGGTGTGTTTGGATGGCTACTACTTGTACATGTTTGAGCTTCACGAATAATGGTATCCATGACAGTACTCTGAGCTTCCGCCACATCTGCACTGTTTCCACGCCGGCAAGACGCCACCGAAGTCTTTGAACTGAGTTAACAGCTGACTATTGCTCTAGAACCCGAGGTCGATCACAGGAAGATTCTGAATTCTTCGCGTGACGGATGGGGTGCTCTAGACTACAGGAGAACAGTGTGGAAAGTTTGATGATTGCTAGGTCTAATCCTTCAAATACCCTCCGGTACCATTGACTAAGACCTCACCAGTACTCATCAGCTACCTGACATGGCACCCCGAAAGAAGAAGCAAAAGGCTCGCCCAGCCCCCTCTGCAGCTGATGACATCGTACCGGACATGACTCTACCAGCGAGCGAGCGTCTACCTAACGAGTTACTACAATTGATCTTCGAATATCTCAGCTTCTATGATCTAATACGCTGCACACAAGTGTCTAGGACGTGGGCTAGGTGTCTACCAGGCGACCACTCCAAACTACGCGAGGCACTGTTCCTACGAGGTGATCAGTCGGCAAACACAGAAGGACCTCTGCGTCTCGAATTCAACTTCAGGATCGTTGGTAATGTTGTTAGGCTCGAGGATAATGTTCTACCTATCTTATTATATGGCTTTTTCGAGGAAAAGATCAAATGCGACACTGGCGGATCAACTTGCGTGAATCCAATCATATCGCGCCACGAACAGCTGTACCATATCGTTCACTCAGGACACCAGCCTCACAAGCTCGAATCGTTCTTTTTATATGGATTCGATACACTGGAGCGCCTGCGGTCGATTACGACGCGTCTTAAACATATCACCGACTGCGGCACTTGGAGGAAGATGCTAGTCTGCGTTCCTGCTGTGACAAAATTGAACGTCATATTTTCGGTCAGTGGCGTTGGTACGATCAATCAGACCCGCATACTTGAGGACAGACGTGGAGTTCGAATGCAATCTCTGGTTGCTCTCATCAGAGCCTTTCTGCAGGAGGTGGGTGATGTAGTGAAGGCGGACGCACCGAAAGTTCGGGTTGTGGATCGATCTCACGGATACGAGGCTACTAAGTCATATAATCAGGTTGGGCGGGGATAACATGATGCCTATGATGTCAGATCAATTGGAGTTAGAAGTAAAACGGGTGAGTATGAAATGCTTGGTCCACTATAAGGTCGGACAGCACTAGACAAAGGCCAGCGATGTCCATCCCCTCGGCAGAGCAAATATTGTACTAGCAACTCAGAAATGATCTCATGGTCATGTGTTACGTGAAGTCTGCCAAATCAAGTAAGTGAATACATCTCTTCTGTGCTCTACCATGCCTGTCGCTGTAACGACAAGTACCGATATTTCACTGTGTCGATGATATCCAAGATGTTTCTTCATGCATCTGACTCCGATCTCATGGGTTACGATCAATCAATAACTTGCAGTAGTATGACCTGATGATCACGCGGAATTGTTTCACCAGGTATCCTACCGCTCGATCAACGTGACTTAACACGCGGTATAACTTCCGACCCCTGTATTTCAATCCTCTCCACTCTCAACCCCACTGGTCTTTCCCGAGAGATTGCGTTGCCTGAGATGGAACATAGTATGAAAGGAGATACAAACGACCTCACCATCAAAGGCAACCTAAGCAGGTCACACAAGCAACCTGACATGCCGACGGATGGCGTCAATCATCATCTTCCAAACGAGATATGGCAGAACATATTCGGCTTTCTAGATCTACATGATCGTAAGTTCACTCCGCGAATATGCTCTCTCAAATGCATTGTAGGCGCTTGATCTAGATACTCACTGCTGACTCTGGATACAGTTCTCCGCTCCCTTCGAGTGTGCACGGAGTGGCGTGATAACATCCAGAGCACTGATCCAACGCTCCGAGACAAGATGTTTAAGGATCGGGTGGTGCCGCCTAACGATGAAAGTAGAAGTGGAGAGAAAGCGACGAGCAGGAACGAGCGCTTGAGTAATACCACCGACAAGACAAAGAGCAGTATCCCTACCGTCACAGTCAACCTACGAGCGGGCGGCGTCTTGCTCTGGGTTCCCGGCTCTTTCCCACAGGCCATGATCAGGTTCGAAGTCGAGTTCAACACAGACTACGGTTATGGTTTTCGCCCTGATGATTTTGATCGCCTATCCAACTTCCCCTCCGGCACGCTATTCCATCCGATTCTTCTAGATCTGGACCGTCGCTTGCCGCTTGTCGACAACGTGTTTCTGACAGACGAAGGAGAGCCATATCCACACTTCAGTGTCGATTCATTCGATTCTCTGGATAACGTGCTAGAAAAGATGCGAATATTTTCACGCAGTGGAAATGATGGCTCGTGGGAAGACATGCTGTTGTGTGTGCCAGCGCAGCCGCGCATCAACTTGGTCTTCGACTATACGTATTATGATTCGCGTCGGAATTATGCGCTTCTTGGAGAGAGTGGATGCGGGGTTACTATGGGTCAGTTTGTGAGGGCTTTCCGCGATCAGTTAGAACATATCGAAGAAGACGTACGCGGATTTCCGCAGGAGATGTTAACTTATTGTAGTGGTGAATGCTGGGAGAAGAGGCATGAGGATGGGTATTGAGTGTTAACAAGGTAGCATAATGCGGGAGGTAATAAGATAGAATGAGTCCAGGAAATGAAGAGACATTTGGTACAGTTGCTTCACTATCCGAACTGGTACGTGAAACTGTCTTGATCCATCTGATTCCGTGTGGAACTAGGTCAAACAATGAGGACATTGGCAATATATCTTGATGGTCATGTGGACTTGTCTCACACACATGCCCCTCGATGAACGTAACCTCCGGCGCAGTATAAATCTAGTACCCCAGTGTCGCTATCCCTCCTATCATCAATTCCAATCCACTCTCCAAAAGACGACACCACCCAAAGATACAACAGCATGCAAGGAAATACTCAAGACTCCACGGAAAAAGTCACCCCAGACATGCGGATTGGTAGCGTAGTCCCGGACGCCCCATCTGAAATTATTCGGAATGAGGCTGACTCAGAGGACGAGAAGGACGACAACATGGACGATACGATTACCGACAGTAATGACGATGACAGCGATATTGCCACAATTAAAGTGAACCTCAGAACGGAGATCAGAGTCCAAAGCCTCCCCGACTCTTTCCCCAGGACTGTGATAGTCCTAGAAATCGACTTCAACGAAATGGAAACAAATCCCTTCCACCTCGTTGAGATTCCTCGCGGTACGGAGTTCCATGAGATTATTGGAAATATGGAGCGGTGCATGCACCACGTCGACGAACGCTTATTCGACCGAGTAAGGCTGCGAAACGCTGGTAAACCACGACCCTGGTTCGAATTTGAATCTTTCCAACACCTGCGAGCTCTGCTGGAAGACAGCAAAAATAACTCCGGGGCTAATGACGGTGATTGGATGGACCAGCTCTTGTTTGGGCCAGGTCTTCAGAGAATCGACGTTTTGTTCAAATATAGGGCTTACAGGAACACGGGCCGCAAGTACGAGCTCACCGGCGAGAATGGGAAAGATGTCACTGTCGGCCAGTTCGTGAAAGCTTTCCGCGATCAGTTGCAGCACACCGAGGCAGACATACGGAAGTTTTCTGGAGAGCTTTCCCTCATCTGCAACGACTGTTTCGGTAATGCTCTATGAGAGGAATGCGATACCAGAATGCTCGTTCTTGATGAGCTCCTGATTTGATTGTGGCTCGGGATGGCTTTCGTAAGCGCGATCACCTCTGTAGGTGACATCAGAGTTGTCTAGAATAGAACAATATCAGTCAGTAGGATGGAATACGAGTAAATTAGCATGGCGAGTCGAGATAAGCAATGTGATGCATACCTCTCTTCGATAAGACGCGATCAATGTAAGACAGTATCGAATAGGCAAGTCGAGAAACGTTAACCTATTCACCAATCATAGCAAATCGACAGGATAAGCATTAGATGTTCAGAAAGTAGACTCATAGTAGGCGTGCATTAGGTTCTGCTTTGTGCAGTTGTGCCCATGATGCAGATGAAAGGTGCCCAAGCCAAGCAACCAATGACGTCGCAAAGTCCCCGCAGACCTCCAGCGGCGCGCGCACCAAACGATCAACCTTCTCCACGCGCAACCGTTCCACAAGCTCACTCCTCCCACTTTCCCTTTCAATCATCTACCAAACCGCATAAAAGATGGCAGCGATATCCCCCGCCCCCGCCTCAACACCCACGCCCACACCCTCAACAGCCCCAACGCTCACGTCCCCGAACTTCGTCTTCCCACCGCACTACTCCTTCCCGCCCTTCTTCACCCTCCAACCAGTCGCCAGCACGCGCTCCTCCCAACTAGCCTCGTGGTCCACGCTCATCCAATCCTACTGCCGCCACAACCGCATCTTCACCCTCTCCCTCATCGACGCGCTCCCCACCCCGCTCTTCACAAACACCACGCTGCGACGCAGCCTCTCCCTGCGCGACGCAAAAGCCATCATAACCTACATGGCCTCCCCCGAAGGCGGCAACCGCGCCGAGTTCATCAACACGAGTTCCTCGAAGAAGGCGAAGGCGGGGGAAGAGAGCGAGGGTGGCAAGGCGTGGATATATTGGCGGAGGCCGGAGGAGTGGGCTGTGGCGTTGGAGGAGTGGGTTGAGAGGACGGGGCAGAAGGGTACGGTGCTTACGCTGTATGAGATTGTCGAGGGGGATGCGAGTCGGCGGGAGGAGTTCTTTGGCATGGATTTGGAGTTGTTGCAGAGGAGTTTGGGGGTTTGTGTTAAGAGGGGGAGGGCGCAGGTCTTTGGGTCGGGGGGTGAAGGCGAGGGTGTCAAGTTCTTTTGAGAGAGTGTTTTGGTTGGGATATGGGTTGATGGATCTTGGAAGATATACTTGGACAAGGAGAAGATGCGTAGAGACGAGGTGGACGAGCGAGTTCAATGATACCCAGTCATATTTTGTTGCGTGACAATATAGAGCTTACAAAACTAAAGATACGAAAGACATTATAGACGTACGACAAAGGCTTGGGCAGAATTAGAAGTTCTAATGCCGCCTGCATATTTCTCCTCGGAAGGGCAGTCCCATACTTCGCATTTGCAGCCGTAAGGCCTGTTCAGCTCCAATACTCCAACCTACTCGCCAACAGGCGTCCACATCGCCTCCAACAACCCCTTCTTCGGCTCTCTCCCGTCCAACACCGCATCTAACCACCCATTAATCAGCGTCCACTGGCTATCATCCCCACACTCTTCAATCGCAATCAACACATCCCTCTTCTTTGCCCCATCCTTCCAGTGCACCAGCCACTCCGGACACTGTCTACGCATCTCTTCAACGAAGAAGGTGCGTAGACAGGTGAGCTCGTAGCATTGAAGCTGTTCGTTGTGGAACTGTACGGCGTCTTTGTCGGCGAGTGCTTCGGGGGTGAGGGGTAGAGGTGGTTGGGGCTGGGATGTTGTGGATGTGGGTAGGAGACCGTCGAGGAACTGGGGGATTTGACAGGCGTACCAAGGCGGTACTGTGGTTGTGCATTCCCAGTCTACAATGCCGACTAGACTGCCGGAAGAGGAGACGAGGATGTTATTCAGGGATATGTCGCCGTTGAATAGTATCGACTCTTCATGTTCGTGCTCCTCCGCTGGTGTTGTGAAGATCTTTGGAATCACATTTTGGAGTTTGGTGTAGATCTCTAACATGCCTTCGGCTTGTTCTTCGTCGTCAGAGTCGTAGCTATCTGAGTCTTCTGCATGCTGAAGCTTGGTGATGTCGTGCTGCAGGAACGCCATGTGAGCGTCCACGAAGCTTTGGCTGCTTGCGAACCGGCCGCGGTAGATGGGCTGCTGGATGTGATCCTCTATGAAGAAAGCTTGTGTGACTGCCTCTCCCACTGTATAGTGTGTGCTGCATCCGCTGATGGTAGGCGACCCATTGGAGTAAAGACTGCCTATACCAGATAGCTTTAAATGGTATAGCTGAACCATGAAGGCTACTATTTGTTGGACCAAAAGCTCTTTGTGAAGCCAGGACATCTCATGCCATACTTCTCGGAGTGGATGGCCTGGCATACGCTCCATAAGTATCCATTCAAAGCCCAGGTCATCTTCAAAATTATCGCTGTGTGCAATAATCTCAGGGACGGGAATGTTGGTCTTCTGGTCGAGGAAGCCTAAGGTAGCGACCTCGCTACTGGTCTTGACTTTTGGTGCTACAGGTAGCGTGACACGAAAAACGAATTGACCTTTAGAGCAGGCGATCTCGTATAGTTTGTTGAAGGCGCCTTCGGCGAAGGCTTTCAGTTCAATAAGCTCGTCTTGTGGCAACTCTAAATGTTTTCGCGCCAGCTCTGTAGCCTTGTCAATGGATGGCTCTTTGGTCCATGTTGGTCTCGCGCCGAAGAGACCTGGCTTCCAGTATAGGCCTGGTTGTTCAATATCCCGAAGTGCAGTTGGCGCTGAATCCATGATAATGGGATGTGAGTTTGGTGATCGTGGTGTGGTGTTGATGTTAGGAGGGTAGAAGTGAGGAGGCGTAGTTACAAGCAAACAAAGACAGTGCTGATCACTTTCACCTGCTTCGTTTGCGCACAGCGAATCAGCGACAAGCTGTTCAGGGCATTGAAAGTGAATACACACAGTGGCGCTGAATATCCACGATGCACTGATGTCAAATGTCAGCGCGAATAGAGTGTCCCATGTACCTTCACACTGCCAGACAGATATCAAGACCTGCAAAAATGGAGCAGACACATCTTATCGAGCACACTCTCCACCGCAACCTCAAGACAATACAACCATAGACCGATAGACTCCATCCTACAAGTAAGCATCAGTATGGGTAAGAAGTTCCGTAAAGCTCTCCTCGCCTTCATCGACGGCATCCCGGACAATAAGCTCGAGGGCGGTTTGCCATCTATCCAGAAGACCATCTACGAGGACGACAACTACAGACTGGACATGCAGAATGTAAGTAATGTTTTTGCACCATCGTCTTCGTCCACCCATGCTAACCATAATGCGTAGTTGACGACCGGTCCGCCCAAGTGCTATAACATCCAAGTTCAGGTAAACAGGCATGCCCTGTTCACCTCGGCGCGTAAGGCAGGTCAGAAGGGAGCCACCGTAGGTAAAGTTTTAGTGCCCGTTGAAGAGCCGTGGACTGCGTGGGCGATCAAAGAGACGCTCAAGCAGAGCTGCATTGACTTTGGTGATCAATCGAACCAGTTCTAGGCGGCTTGGGTGCTTGCGTAAGTTGGTATATCTTGGCGAGAGTTCACGGCGATATTCTTTTCCGACATGGATAGGCGTTTTATACCCGGAAATGTGTTGATGTTGCACAAGACTAAAAACGATTAGCGACGTCTTGAGCAACGAGTATAGTAGTCCAAGATAGACTTGAATCCGGAAGTCAGGTTTGCCTGAGTCGCATTGACCACATCCCCGCAAGACGCAAAGTTAAAACAAGCAGTGTCAGATGCTCCGTGCCTGAGAACTGTGGACGTGATGACGCCGCAAAAGCTTGCATAGTGACTGAGGACAAGGAGTCCATGGTGACTGATGCTCTGAATGCTGGGGAAAGTCTTGGGACGTGGCTGATTAACGGTGGAGAGGATGGCTGGACGCTTGGGTCTTGATAGCGTAGATCACAGAGAGTTTTGAGAGCTGATCCCAATAACGAAACAGATTGATCTTCGACTCTGGAGTCAAAGAAGGCTGGGGACCAGAGTTGGACAGGTAGTGCATGTAATGGTGATGCGGCGTAAGTGCATCGTGACACAGACGTCAGTCATCGGTAGTGGTCCTCTGCGGCGTACTAGGTGTGATAGTGACGCAACACATGCTAGGGAACTCGAATCCACCGTAGATGTGGTGGATATGGCTGGTGATGCAGATCAGGGCGGATCGTCGCAGGCTCAGAGTAAACAATGGTTCTGGTTGAGGGAGCGGGCCGTTAGCTAGTCTGCAGTAGGAAAGGGCCGAGGGTCAACGGGCGCTGCAGAAAGCTACGCAGCACGCACAGTAAACAGAACGATGGACGCCGCTAAGGACGAGGCTGGAGGCTCCGCAAGCCCCATGCGCCGTTCGAACAGCGCATGGCCACGTCGCATAGGCGTCCACAATTGCGGGGAGCGTCGTGAGACGAAGCGACGTGGTTGTGCTGAGGGCGGACGGTCTCAGGCACAGGCTCGACGTTATGCGCTGCAACACAACAATGCCATCCGCAGCGGACCGGTTGCGCGGTGGACAGTAGTATTTGTATATTGAAACAGCGGACTAATCCAGCAGGTCGGTTCAACTGTTAGTGTGTGCAGGCAGACGCTATGCCGCATGCGTCTTGCTGCATTGTGCTGCAGATGACTGCGGGTCAGCGTGGAGCGCTGCGGGCTGCCGTCGAGAGAGGTTGCACACGGTGGGCATGCGGTGGGTCGTTGTCGAGGTCGTATAAATAACCGTCTTATACCTAATCACTCGACCAGCTGGAGTCGCAATCCGTCGCCAGGCACCTGAGACGAAAAGCATCGGAGGATAATTTTAGGCCAGGTACATCTCATTTCCCCTCGGCAGGGTCAGCCCAATCAGCGCGCACAGAAAGAACGACCGGACCCCTGATCCCTGACGCCGAAGCAGGAGCTAGCCGACGCGGTAGCCTCGCTGTTCGTGCGTGTTGACCATCCCCCAA